GGCCAATATTGGGCCTGCCCTCTGCCACCCGGGAGCAGGCCTAAGCCAGCAGGTCATTATCTCCCGAGGGGTCCCAGACTGCAAGAGGGCACAGGCCAGGCTGAGGGACCCCCCCCTCCCCCGAGTGCACAAATTTTTGTGCACCGGGCCTCTAGTTCCTTTATATTTCTGCTGGCCCTTGTAGGCGTTTGAGTTTATAATGTCTGGAATTAATAAAAGTGAATACTTACTTTATATACTGGTTAATGAAAACCCACAGAATGAGAGACATTCTGTGGGGGAAGGAAGTAGTGATTTGCATTTAACCAAGGGGACTGCTGGCCTTAGCTGGACATTCTGCTTAATGCTTACATGAAATTAATTCATCTAATAAGTACTTTGCTTCATTTTTTAAATTTTCCTATTTATATTGTGAGATCCTGTAGAATTTAGGTATAGCTCTTTAAAATATTTTAGGAGTCTTTAGTATTTGTTTTCACTTATTTCAATTTTCCTGCCTTTGGATGGGAATGATTGTCAATAATACTGACCTTGGTACATGTGTTTTTAAATTCAGACATTTAAGTAATGATTTTCAAGCATTTTAGTAGGGAAATTGTCTTTAAACAAACCATTTTACACTCTTAAGGGTAAGGGTGTAAAAAGCTGGCTTAGCATATAAAAGCCTGATTTATATGACTCACTTAAAAATACTTTGTTTTCCTTTAGCGAGTTGAAGAATTTCTCAGCAAAGATATCAGTTATCTTATTTCAAATAAAAAGGAAGCTAAATTTGCCCAAACCTTTGGACAGATTTCTCCTGTACCAAGTCCAGAATCTGCATATACTGCAGAAACCACTTCACCTCATCCCAGCCATGATGGAAGTTCATTTAAGTCTCCAGATTCAGTAAGTCTCTTAAATGTGCTTTGAGTCGCTCGTAAAGGCTACAGCCTGAAGATCTTATGATTTTTAGGAGCAGGCTGGCCTCAGAGTTTGCTTAGGTAGAACAATGTCTACATTATGTGTAGCTTTCCAGTCATTAATAGGGCTGCTGTTTGACAGAAAGGTGATTCCCCCCCCCCCAGTAGTGCTTGTATAGTTATACTCTGCTTCCTAAAATAGACCCTTGCATTTAGATATGATGGTATGACTTTATTTTTTAGAGTAATTTATAACTTACAAGTAACAGTGGGTCATTGTTTAAAGAAGAAATGGAAATATTTTGTTTGTTTTAGAGCAGGGTTTAGCAAACTATGGCCACTGCCCAAATCCAGCCCATCACCTGTTTTTTATAGCTTTCAAGCCAAAGCATGGTTTTACATTTTCAAATAGGGAGAAAATCAAAATATTTTGTGACAAGTGGAATTGAAATGAAATTTAAATTTTGTTGTTCACAAAGTTTTATTGGAACATAGCCATAATACCCATGTGTTTGCTTATTGACTGATTGTTTACTGCCTTCCTGCAACCAGTTAATGTGTAAATGAATAAAGTCAGAACTGGATAGCTGGGAAAGACTACAAAGCCAGGAGAGCCTAAAATGTGTAGAAGTTTGCCAACCCCTATTCTAGATCTGTTGACATCATACTCCTTTGTCAATAAGTTGGAAGATACAGTGAAGAATAAATGAAACTGATTTAATTTGATGTGGAAAAGGGAAGAGATTAAAAACTAAAATGTTCATCTTATTTTTAGATTGAAATGTAATTATCATTTTAAAATCTCAACTTATCGACTGTAGCCACTTGCGAAGAAAGAAAAATTGGGGCAGGGAATCGAAGAAATGAGTTACATAAGAAATACCACTTGATAAAGACAAATACATAGAAAAATGTCAAAGACAGAGGAGAACAAGGAAGCCTAATATATCTTTTTAGTTCATGCTTTTTGGAGGAATGAGATTATACACCAGTGACTAGTTCCAAATTAATTGTAACTCAGCATTTCAACTGCTTTTCTGGTGCTTTGTTTAAAAAGTGAAATACCATATAAAACAATATATACAGTTACATCTTTAGTTTAATGGAAAACTAAAATGTAAACTTACTAAATTTTAGACGGTTTCAGAGGAACCTAGCTATTTCATTTTTCATGTTAAATAGAATTTACTAAAGAACTGACCTTGGGTCTCGACAACATTCAATTCAGTTTAGCTTTTTCCCTTTTTCAATGAGGCACAATCAAACTTTTTATTTTTGATTGTTCTCTGGTCTTGTTATAGGTGTGTTTGCTTTTTCCCTTTTTCAATGAGGCACAATCAAACTTTTTATTTTTGATTGTTCTCTGGTCTTTTTATAGGTGTGTTTGAGCAGAGGAAAATTATTAGCTGAAAAAGCTATCAAGGATCATGTAAGTATAAGTAGTAACTTTAAAAACAGTGTATATCCTGTTAAAAACTCAAGTAGAAAATAGAGATAGATGTTCTTGAAATCTTTCCTTGTTTTCATGGGTAAAGCCTAAATATCAGCATGTATCTTGTTTTACAAAGAACAGAATCCACTTTCATGAAGAAACATCTCCATCTTGTGGTCTTTTAAAGTATTACTAAAGATTTCTGAAGCTCCTGGTATTTTTAAATGGAATAATTTCTTGAAACTAATTACTGTAAGGCTATATTGTGTAGTAATTGTCAAGAATATGGGAATATATTAAGCAGGTTTGAAAAAACTGGTGTTATCATTGCTGTTGTAGCTATAGAGTGTTCAGTGACATTGTTTCAAATAATTTTTAAATTCAGCTCATTTAAAATAGCAATTTCTTAGTTTTCTTTTTTTTTTAAAATATATTTTATTGATTTTTTACAGAGAGGAAGGGAGAGAGATAGAGAGCCAGAAACATCGATGAGAGAGAGACATCGATCAGCCGCCTCCTGCACATCCCCCACTGGGGATGTGCCCGCAACCCAGGTACATGCCCATGACGGGAATCGAACCTGGGACCTTTCAGTCCGCAGGCCGATGCTCTATCCACTGAACCAAACCGGTTTCGGCTAAAAAATAGCAATTTCTTAGAAAAACTATCAGACTGTTTTGTTTTGTTTTTACAGGATTTTATTCCTTCAAATAGTATATTGTCAAATGCCTTATCGTGGGGAGTAAAAATTATTCATATTGATGGTAAGGATTTTATCCTTCTTTTATTTCTTATATATTTCTTTCCCTTGGTTCCAAACTTTACATAGTGAAAATTCTGATTGCAAGAAATACCTGTTAACTCCAAAGGTAAAATGCTAATCTTAAACCCTTCTTTCTTCTAATAAAGACATAAGATACTACATTGAACAAAAGAAAAAGGAATTGTGTTTACTCAAGAAATCAAGCACTGCTATAAGAGATTCGGTATGTTATTTTCCTTTCTTTTTAAGTTAATTAAAGAAAGTGATCCAAGTTTGGTTTTTGTTTATGTATCTGGATTTTTTTTTGCCAAGTAGAATATATTATTGCCAGAATATCCTAAGGTAAACTTGGATACTGTATTCATAGTTCTCTTATAGGGTCTATCTGTCAGACCATTCTTTTGTGGTCTGCTTCTCTTCACTCAATCCTTAAATGAATATGATCTAAAAGGAAAATAAATTTTATAGAAGAATATATGTAAAGACATAAGTCATAAGTAGGATGGCATGTTTTTGCAAATTTTCTGTATTGGAATACATATTGACTCTTAGAGCAAGAGAATGACAAGAAATGAAGCTGGAAAAATTAGCGGGTTCACATAAAAGTATAGAGGAGTTTGTACACTATATAAAGGAGTTAGATTTTTTCTTGAAGGGTTTGGAAATTTATTGCGAAATTATTAACAGAGGAACTGATTGGATAGGCATTTTGGAAAGATCTGATTGCCAGTAAAGAATATTTGCTGGCAAGACTAGCAGTTGGACATTGGCCTTTGAACTCTTTGAACACAATTTTCATTAAGAAATATTTTACATCATGAATACCCATATATGCATGCTATATACAATGATTCATAAAGTCTTTGTGACTTCACATTTTTAATAAATTTTAATTTATATAAAATATAAAGAGTTCAGAAAGGAACAGATAATTTACTTAGTATTTAAATAATATTGCTAATATTTTATTTGTTTGGTTGTCTCATTTACAAGTAAAAAAAAATTTCCAAATGACTATTCCCAGATTTTTGCAAAATGATGGGTGGATATTCCTTTATTGAAATATGCTAAATATGCTACTGCACTTTGCAAATTATTTGGATTGAACATAAAAGTAGATGGAAATTTAAACTCAAATGGACATTTATGGATTCTGAATACACACACATATTGAGTATTCTGGGATGATATGTCTGTAATCAGGCAAAAGGTTGAAAGCCTGCTTAAAAGTAGTAATAGAAGAAGAGAGGAAGATTTAAAAGATACTTATTAACAGGTTTCAGTGCCTTAAATCCAATATAAACTTTATGAGGGTTCAGATCTGTCTTAGCTTTAAATGCTAGGTGTTGATTACACATGTAACCTCCATTGTTCATTTAGTATTCAACAAATACTCTGTCTATTGTGTGCCAGGCACTAGGAAAAAAAGTTAAAAGCTGGTTTTTGTTTTTTAATTCTCATCCAAGGATATGTTTTTACTGATTTTAGAGAAAGAGGAAGGGAGAGAATGGCAGTCAATCAGTTTCCTTCCCATATGCTCCCAGACCACTGTTTTACATGGGTGTGAAAAATATCTTACTTTTCTCTCCAAACAAAAATTATTAAAATACCAAATATCTCTATAATCCAGGATGTGTGATTGATTGATCAACTTGATTCCACTTCTGGCAGGTTTTTTTGTTTGTTTTTTGAATGAGAAAAGAAATGTTTCTGGAATAATTTTGGTTTGCCAAGTACTAAAACGTAAAACTTTTCAATGAAGGTGCATTTATGGGTCTTAAATGGACAGCTATAAATCTTAGACATACCACAAATTTTAACACATTAATTATATTCTCACAAATACTCTCGTTAATTTTTTAAGTTGGATAAATGTATTTGCTCCACTAATTTATTTAAAGTGCTTTGAGGTACACCCCCCACCCCCCCGCCCCAGTTAACCAGAAACATGTTTTGGGTGTTTTTTTGGAGGATTTTTTGCATATATTTGCCTGAGAAATATTGGTCATCTTTTTCTTTCAATGTCTTTGATTTCAATGTCAAGATAATGCTGTGCTTATAAAGTGCTAGAATGTATTTCTCTTCTATTTTCTAGACAAGTTTTTGTAGAATCGGTTTTACTTTTTAAATGTTTGGTAGAATTTACCAGTAAGATTATTGGGGTGTGAAATTTTCTACGTTGGACATTTTTCAAATATGAATTCAACTTCTTTATTAGACAGAGGAACCTTGGGTTGTTTATTTATTCTTGAGTGTACTTTGGTAGTTTGTGTTTTTCAAAGGACTTGTACATATTGTTAAAACTGTCAAATTGATGGCAAAAGTGTTTGTAATATTCCTTTATTAAGCCTTTAATGTCTATAGGGTCTGTAATGATGTCTCCTCTTTCATTCCTAATATCATTATCGTATGCCTTTTTTTCTTTTCTTGGTCAGCCTGGCTAGTTTTATTTTATTTCTCCTTTTTAAAGAACCACCTTTACTGTAAATTCCCTTTAAGCTCTGCTTTAGCTTCATCCCAAACATTTTATATTAGATTTTTAAAAATATATAGACTTTATTTATTTTATCTTCACCCGAGGATATGTTTCCAGATTTTAGAGAGGGGGGAAGGGCAAGGTAGGGGAGAGAGAGGGAGCAAAGCATTGATGTAAGAGAGAAACTGCCTCTCATATATGTCCCAACTGAGACCAAACCCAAAACCTAGGTGTATGCCCCAACTGGGAATCAAACCTGTGACCCTTTGGTGTATAGGATGATACTCCAACTAACTGAAGCCACATCAACCAGAGCTAGACTTTATTTTTTAGAGCTTCTTTAGGTTCACAGCAAAATTGAGTAGAAGATACAGATATTCCCTTATACCCTTTGTTTTCAGTATACACACAACATCTACTACTATCAATAATCTACAACAGAGTATTACTAATTGATGAACCTATATTAAGTCATCACTCAGAGTCCATAGTTTACGTTAGGGTTTACTTTTGCCTTTCGGTTTAGACAAATGTATAGTGACATGTCCTCCATACAGTACCCTAAAATATAATTTCAATGCCCTAAAAATCCTCCATGCTCCATCTATTCACCCCTCCCTTCCCGCTTAGTTCTGGCAACTACTGATCTTTGTACTGTTTCCATAATTTCACCTTTTACAGAATATCATACAGTTGGAATCACAGTATATGTATAGCCTTTTAGATTGGCTTCTTCACTTAGTGTTAGGCATTTAAAAGTTCCTGTCTTCATGACTTGGTAGCTCATTTGTTTTTATAGTTGAAAATTCCACTGTCTGGATATGCCATGGTTTATCCATTCACCTTCCAAAAGACATCTTGGTTGCTTCCAGGTTTGCCAGTTATGGATATAGATTAAGGATATAAATATCCATGTGAAGGTTTTTGTATTTTCAGCTCATTTGAATAAATACTAAGGTGCATGGTTGCTGGATCATATGGTAAGAGTGTGTTTAGTATTATAAGAAACTGTCAAACTGTCTTCCAAAATGGCTATCCCATTTTGCATTCCCACCAGTAATGAATGAGAGTTTCTGTTGCTGACATGTCCTGTTTTCATCTTTGTTTAATTAAAAATATTTTAAATTTTACCTTAATGACTTAGTCTTTGTCCTGAGCATTGTTAAGTGTGTACACATCTAATATTTTTATGTCCTCTTGGTGAATGGATCTTTTTATTATTATACAGGGTGTTCAAAAGTAGGTTTATGATTGTTGGTATGGAAAAATAATACAATAATTAATAAATAATCCTATCTGATAAAGAGGTAATATGCAAATTGACCATCACTCCAACACACAAGATGGCTGGCAGGGGAGGGCAGTTGGGAGGTATCAGCCCTGCAAGGAAGGGTAGATGAGGGCAATTGGACTAGCAGAGGAGCAGTTAGGCTTCGATCAGGCTGCCAGGGGAGTGATTAGGGGATTATCAGGCTGGCAGGCAGGCGAGCAGTTGGGAACCAGCAGTCCTGGGTTGTGAGAGGGAAATCTGACTGCCCGTTAGGCCCTATTCCAGTAGGATTGGGCCTTAACCGACTGTCGGACATCCTTCGAGGGGTTCCAGGTTGGAGAGGGTTGAGGGGCACACACACCCATGCACGAATTTCGTGCACCAGGCCTCCAGTATAAGAATAAACTGTTATCAAATAGTTTTTGAATGTGTATTAGACATTGTAAATGTTGTACAGGCTCCAGATCTATGATAATACTTTAAAGAAGGTTGATTTTTGTTGCTGCTGCAGACAGTCATCAAGTTTGGTTCAGACTATCAGTTCTGTCTCAAATTAGATGGCAGCTCTAATCTCGGTTTCTGTTTTCAAAGACTTGTATGGAGCTCTCTGTTTGTTCTGCATATGCATCACTTATAGATTAGCCCAAGACTTGGGCAGTGTAGTTTGAATCTTATAGTTCCAATTTTCAAAGCTCTTGCTTTGTATCTGTCCTTAGAATATGCAGTTAGAGTTAACCCCGGTTTTTATGTGGATTTATACAGGGAATTAGGGATCCCCTTCTCCAGCTTGCTATTATCTGTGGTTTCCCCTTCACTCTCCAGTATGAAGTAACCCTTTTTATAGTTCTCTAGTCAGAAAGTCATGGTTTCTCAATTTCATTTGCTTGTGGTACTTTTACAATTGCAATTTCATAGCTGGGGCCCACCCAAAGGGCAAAAAGGTGGGAGAAATCAAAGAGAACATAATACAGTGATTCTCTTTGTAATCTTTGGATTGCAGGAGCCTCTTTCCAGGTTCTTTCTAGCTAGAAAGATGGGGTTTGCATAGGAGAGGTAATCACTGGCTTCACTCTTCCCACCAACTCCGTGACTATAGGTTGGTTCATCCTTAAGGCAAAATTGCAAGAGAAAGATGGGGGGATGGGAAACTTACCCCCTAAAGGTAGCCTCTCTCTAAGTTTTTACTTCCTTCAACAATATTCTTGCTTCTGCTTACTTTTCAGTCTGCAGGTAGTTGCTTATTGTATTTTATTCAGCTTTCGGTTATAATCAATGGGATTGGATGTATTCCAGCTTGACTGGAATTGATAGACTATAATGAATTTTTTTTCTTTTATATTGTTCTTTTCCTATATGGTTTTAAAAAAATAATTTAAGGGTAATTGCGATTTTCACTATACTATCAAACCCAGTATTTTCACTATCAAATTTTTCTTTTTTTTAGGGGAAAAGAGTAGGTGTTGGCATACAGAAAACAAGAAGTAAGTATTTTGATATACTTAAATGTGTTTGGTTTGCTATAGAAAACAGAAAATAATTTTCTTAAAAATCATGTAAATAACTTCAGATGACTTACTCAGTAGTTCCTAGTCTTTTTAAGAACCTGTACCCATGTAGCAATCTGTTTAAAAAATATATTTTTTTAATTATTAGTTTACTAAGAAAATGATATTGGATTGAGTTAACAGAATTTTTAATGAAATAATAATATACATGCTTTAATTACACATTAAAGTCAAGCTCTAAAACTGATTCTGACTACTGTAATTTTAAAGTGATGAACATAAATGATGCTTTGAGATATCTGTAGTAATTAATATGATAGGAAAATACCTGTTTTGATTTGTACCAAAAATTACCGGCACTGGTAATACTTATATGAATAATTTAAGGAAATGTCAAATTTCAGTTAGAAGTTAGTAAAAATAAAAGTTGAATTTGTTTTTTTTTTCTGTTGAACCTCTTGAGCCTCCTGAATTCTACTCGTAGGTCTATGGTGGGGGGCTGGGGTGGGGGGGTCCATTTAGTTTCAGAATCTCAGAATATAGACGGAGCTTCTGTTATTTTGAAATGGATTGACATTGTAAAATAACTCACCTGAGATTTAAAACTAATTGAAATGAAATGGATAATGGGTACATAGTTGGTGATTTTTTTGTGTGTGTTGTATGTTTTGTTTTGTTTTTTAGCCAGAGTAGTTTTTTGTTTGTTTGTTTTAAATCATGGATTTGTAATATCTAATACCATGTTTTAATATGTTTTCAAGCAGGTAGACTCAAAAAGCCTTTTCTAAAGGTGGAAGATATGAGCCAGTAAGTATCTAAGTTCAATCTGCCGGGTCGCCTCACATCCCTGAGGGCTCCCAGACTGTAAGAAGGGGCAGGCCGGGCTGAGGGACTCCCCCCCTCCAGTGCATGAATTTTCATGCACCGGGCCTCTAGTTTCAAATAACCATTATCTGGGTAAATACAGTACCATATGATTTATAACAACTACTTAATAATTGCTTCTACATTTGTTAAAAAGAAATTATTAGTTGCTATTTGGAAATATAAATCTGAGTCTAACTTTTTTATTTTAGAGAGAGCGTGTGAGAGAAACATGTATTTGTTGTTCCACTTAGGAATTTATTGGTTGATTTCTTAATATGTGATCAGACCCACAACCTTGGTGTATCAGGACAATGCTCTAACCAGCTGCACTTACCTGGCGATGGCTGAGTCTTAACATTTTATGTGGTAGTTTTTCTAAACTCACTCTCATATATTATAGGATAATATTAATGAAAATTAAGGTGTGAGAGAATTAAGTTGGCATGGAGGAATCATATTTCTTTACCTTGACTTTCTAGTTACTCAGACATGTGTGGTTAATTACTCATTTAGATGTGTAATTAATTCTCTTGGGTACTCACTGAGGTGATTAATGTGTGTTGAATGCTTCTGTTTATGAAATTTATTATGGGGGGCGGGCTGCAATTCAAAATTAGGCCTGGAGAAGACATCAATAAATGATATTCCATGTTCATGAATGTGAACACTTCATATTGTTAAGATGTCAGTGGTGCCCAAAGTGATCTACAGATCCAGTGCATTCCCTGTCAGAATCCCAATGACTTTTTTAACAGAAAGGGAAAAATCTATCCTAAAATTCATATGGAATCTCACAGGACCCTGAACACCCAAAGCAGTCTTGAAAAGAACAAAGTTGGAGATCTGTACTTCCTGATTTCAAAACTTAGTACAAAACTACAGTCATCAAAATAGTTTGGTGCTGAAAAAAAGGCAGATATATAGACCAATGGGATAGAATAAAGAGCCTAGAAATAAATCTTCACATGTTGACAAGGATGTCAAGATCATTTAGTGGGGAAAGGACATTTGTTTGTTTGTTTTCAAAACTCAAAATGGCTTAAAAACCCAAAACTATAAAACTCCTGGAAAAAAACACTAGGGGAAAGCTTTATGACACTGGATTTGGCAGTGATTTCTTGGATATAAGACCAAAAACACAAGCAATAAAAGATTAAAAAAATAAAATTGCACTACATCAAAATTATAAATTTCTGTGCACCAAAGGCTACAACAAAGTGAAAAAGGGAACCCATGGAATGGGAGAAGATATTTGCAAATCATATGTTTAATAAGGCATTGATATAAAGAAGTCAAGCCCTAGGCGGTTTGGCTCAGTGGATTTAGTGTAGGCTGAGGACTGAAGGGTGTCAGGTTCAATTCCCTTCAAGGGCACTTATCTCCATTGCAGGCTCGATTTCCCTGGGATGTGTGCAGGAGGCAGCCAATGGATGTGTCTCTCTCACATCGTTTCTCTCTGTCTCTCCTTCTCCCTCCCACTCTCTAAAAATCAATGGAAAAATATCCTCAGGTGAGGATTAAAATAAAAAAGTCAACAATAGATAATCAAATAACCTAAAAATGGACAAAGGATTTGACATTTCCCCAAAGATATACAAGTTACCAATAGGCATATGAAAAGATGTTTGGCTCAGTGGATAGAGCGTCAGCCTGCGGACTCAAGGGTCCCAGGTTCGATTCTAGTCAAGGGCATGTACCTTGGTTGCGGGCACATCCTCACTGGGGGCTGTGCAGGAGGCAGCTGGTCAATGTTTCTCTCTTATCGATGTTTCTAGCTCTCTATCCCTATCCCTTCTTCTCTGTGGAAAATCAATAAAATATATTAAAAAAAAAGAAAAGAAAAGATGTTCAGCATTGCTGTTCATCAGAGAAATGCAAATCATTACACTACAGTATACCTCATATCTTTTAGGATAGCCATTATAAACAAACAAGACAGAAGATAAGTGTTGAGCATTGTTGGCAGGATTGGAAAATTTTGCATCCGCTATGGAAAAACCAGTATGGAAGTTCTTCAAAAGAATTAGAAATACCATATCCAACAATTCCACTTCTGGGTATACATCCAAAATAATAGAAAGCAGGTTCTTGAAGAGATATATGCACATACATATATGTTCATAGCATTATTCACAATAGCCAAAATGAATGGATAATGTATATGCAGACATTGGAATATTATTCAACCTTAAAAAGGAATGAAACTCTGACACATGCTACAACGTGGAAGAACTGTGAGGACATTATGCAAAGTGAAATAAAAAAAAAAACTGCATGATTCTATCTAAAGAGGTACCTAGAGTCATTAAATTCATACAGTCAGGAAGTAGAATAGTAGTTGTCTGGCTGGTGGGGAAAAGAATGGGGAGTTACTGTTTCAAGGGTATAAAATCCGTTTTGCAAGATGCAAAGGGTCTGGAGATGGATAGTGTTCATGGTTACAAAACATTGTGAATGTACTTAATGCGATGGAACTATACACTTAAAAATGGTTAAGGTAGTACATTTTGTTACGTGTATTTTACCACAATTAAGCTTGTTTTTATGTGTTAAAAAAAATGGGTCTAGAATTGGGAAGGGAAGTCTAACATTTCTGTTGTTTATTTCAGATTCCAGATGAATTACATGATTTTAAAATATAAAACATCAAATGTGTTTTCTTTAACCATAAAAAATGTTCATGTATTTTTCTTTTTATTCTTTTAGACTTTATAGACCATTTTATCTTCCACTGACCAATATGCCTTATATAAATTACTCTATTCAGAAGCCTTCCAGTCCATTTGATATAGATAAGCCATCTAACATCCAAAAGGAAACTCAGGTTAAACTAAGGTTGGTTTAACCTTTAAGTAACTTTTTATCCACTTAAACAAACATGAAAATAATTAATGCCGTGTGTGCGTGCGCGCGCGTGTGTGTGCGTGCGTGTGTGTGTGTGTGTGTGTGTGTGTTCGTTCACTCTTATGGTCCCCTCCCCCCATATATTTTTATTGCCCCTTGGATAGATTTTAAGTCTGAATTTCTTTTAAGTGTGTCATATTTAGAAACTAGATAGATGGGGGGAAAAGGGATTGAAATTGCAAATAATTAAAATGTGTTGTTTTTCTTAAGTGATCTGAAATATGCTCAAGAATCATCATTATGTTCTTAGTTTGCTTCTCAATTGTTTAAAAAGAAAAACGTTACAAGTATTTGTTGATACAAAACTGTGCAGATTACGGCAGATTCTGTTTGATTTTTATTATTCCTTATGTTCAGCAGTTAATCCTTTTGTCATATATTTCTATCAGAATCCAAATGGATGGCGATAAATGTGATGGAATCCCAACTCAACTCCAATTGAAAGAGAAGAAAAAAAAAGGATATTGTGAATGTTGCTTGCAAAAATATGAAGATCTCGAAACTGTATGCATGATTTTATGTTTGGGGTTTGATATTTTTAAAGCTATGAATAGATATCTGATTGTGGTTATAACATTAAATTATTAAGTAGTATATATTTCTTTTTGATAGAATTATCTGAAATTTTAAGAACCCAAAGTGGGGAAATATAGAAAAATCATTTTTACTCATTTATTCAACAAATATTTATTGTGCAACTGTTATGTAAGAATCACTACTCTGAGCAAGTATGGAACAAAGACCAATTCCCTGCCCTTATAAAGATTACATTTTTTGGAGGGGGAGGGGAGATAGGTAACTAGAATAAAAGAATAAAGAATATATAGACAGAATATTTGGGTCAGTACTGTGAGAAAATATAAAGCA